TCTTTCTGGTCATAGCCCTTGGTCACAAGCCTAGCCTTGTATTTTTCAATCGTACCATCGGGCCTAAGCTTCTTTTTGAACACCCACTTACATCCAAATGGTTTGCAACCATAGGGACGCTCAGTGATCTCCCATGTCCCGTTAGCCATGATGGAATCCATCTTGCTACGGACCGCATCCTTCCAGTAGTCAGCTTCTGGAGAGGCATACACTTCTGAAATAGAAGTGGGAGTATCATCCACGAGGTACACAAAGAAATCATCACCAAAGGTCTTTGCAGTCCTTTGTCTCTTGCCCCTACCAAGGGTTTCCTCGTCATCCTCCTCAGGATTTTCATCATGTGTTTGTTCATAATAATCCATAGGAATGGCAGGCTCAGAAGTCTCCTCAGATCCCTGTCTAGAAGTGCTTTGCATATCTCTCATAGAAAAGACATTCTCAAAGAATGTAGCATCCCTAGACTCCATAATTGTACCAACCTTCTGGTCGGGTACCTCAGATTTCGCTACTAGAAATCTATAGCCAACGATGTTCTTAGCGTAGCCCAAATTAACGCAGTCCACAGTCTTGAGTCCAAGCTTACACTTTTTGGGGATCGGCACATTGACTTTTGCCAAAAAGCCCCAAGTACGCAAGTAGTGTTGTCCTTCTCTTCACCCATTTCTCATAGGGAGTGATCTCATTATCCTTTGTTGGAACTTTATTCAGGACATGACATGCCGTCAATATAGCCTCTCCCCACCATGCCTTGGATAAACCCGATGTATCTAACATGGCGTTAAACAAATCAGTTAGAGTATGGTTTTTCCGCTCGGCAGCCCCATTTGACTGAGATGAATAGAGAGGCGTCCTCTCATGAATAATTCCGTGTTCCGCATAGACATAATCAAACTCATTAGAGAAGTAGTCTCCACCATGATCTGACCGAACTCGTTTTTTTTTCAAGTTGATTCTCAACTTCCGCCTTATAGATTTTAAAGTAGTGTAGAGCCTCATCTTTAGTGTTTAAAAGGTGTACACACCAATATCTAGTAGAATCATCTATCAGTGTCATGAAGTATCTTTTTTCACCTTTAGTCAATACACCATTCATATCACAAAGATCAGAATGTATGAGTTCTAACGGCGCCAAATGTCTCTCCTCCGCAGCCTTATGGGGCTTGCGAGGTTGCTTTGCTTGCACACACGAATGGCACTTAGAACCTTTGGCTAAAGTGAAACTTGGGATTAAATTCAATTTTGCTAACCGCATCATACTACCAAAACCAATGTGACAAAGACGTGAATGCCAAACTTCTGTTTCATTAACACTCGAATGAATATTGTTCATGACTTTATTACAAAAATCAGTGAGGGAAAAGAGGAACAGACCTCCGCATTCATAACCTTTTCCAACAAACAGTCCATATTTCGTAACAACTACTTTATTAGACTCGAATACCAATTTAAACCCTTATCTACATAGAAGGGAACCACTAACGAGATTTTTCTTGATAGCGGGGACATGCTGCACGTTCTTCAGTTGCACGATCCTTCCTGAAGTAAAGTTCAGATCGACCGGCCAACACCATGAACAGAAGCACTCACGCTGTTCCCCATCAGTACGGACCCGTTCACTGTGGCCTGATAAGAAGAAAACAATGAAATGTCGGCACACACATGAATATTTATACCTGTGTCAATCCACCAATCGGTAGACTGACAAACTGAAAATACAGTAAACAAATTATCGTACCCAGACGACCCACTCTCATCGTTGCTCACAATCATGTTAACAGTCTTGGAGTCCTGTCCTGGCTTCTTAAACTTGTTTGGGCACTTGGCAGCCCAATGTTCATCTGAACCAGAAGTGGAACAACCATCCTTCTTCTTATCTTTCTTGAAGGTCTTCTTGCCCTTCTTCTTAAACTCGGTATTCTGTTGGACACCAGTCTTCCCCTTGGGCTTGTGGGGTGGAAGTTCTTCTACACCACATTGGCGACAGAGGTCCCTTTGGTCCCTTTTCCGTGCGAGTCCTTTGCCCTCGAATTCTGCTCCACACTCAGATGGCCAATAACATCCTCAACTGAGAATTCACGCCTCTGATGTTTTAGAGTAGTGGCAAAGTTCCTCCAGGAATTGGGTAACTTAGCGATAATGGAACCCGCGACAAATTTGCCCGGCAACACACACTTGAGAAGCTCAAGCTCCTTAGCAATGCACTGTATCTCATGAGCCTGTTCTAATACAAAACGGTTTTTGACCATTTTGTAATCGTGGAACTGCTCCATAATATACATCTCACTTCCAGCATCTGTTGCGCCAAATTTAGATTCGAGCGCCTCCCACAAGTCCTTGGCAACTCACATATGTAAGTATGCATCAACCAGCTTATCTCCGATCACGCTCAGAACGCATCCAACAAAGACGACGGTGGCCTCCCTGAACGTCTTCTCATGTTCAGGAGCGATCATTCCCGTGGGAGTAACACCGGCGACCCAGAATACGTTCATGGCCGTGAGCCATAAGACGGTTTTAGTTTGCCAACGCTTAAAGTACGTCCCCGTAAATGGGGCTGGTTTCAGTGCAACAGCAAAACCATGGATCGAAAATTGCCTACACATATTAGGTTTTTGGATTGTTGAGAAATTAAGCAATTGTTCAATTAATTTAATCCAATAATAAATCATGAACATGACATAGGCAGTGCTAATGACATACTGAATTTTGATGATGTACGCACGTACTAGGCAGATAGTAGAAACATCTATGCAAACCACTAGTACTGCACACATGAAAGTAAACATGAGCGGTGTAAATGTGTTATACCCTCCAATAGGCCAGTCGGCCGTAGCAACATCGGAGGCGTCGGCCTCGTCTGTGATCCTCTTGTCCGCAGCAGCCTTCTCGGCAGCCACATGATCGGAGTCAGTGCTCATGGTGAAGACGAAGGTGACGCAGAAGTAGTTGACGTAGATGTAGTTGAACCAAGGCAAGCAGTCACGTAGGAGACGCTCCCAAAAACCTAATCGCCTCTCTCCCGTACAGGATCTGGAGAAGCGGGGTTTCGGAGGCCTGCTCTCCCATCAGCCGTGTACGCGGTAGACGTTTTATTGTGGCGTAGCGTGGCGGGCGGCGGAGGAGGAGCGCGCGTGTGGAACACCCCTCCTTCCTTTACGCCAACTCATACTAGTGGGAGAAGAGCTCACCTTATAAGTTGGTGCACATCTCTCTCAACTAGCCATGTGGGACTAAACTTCTCACCACTCAATTGACAGCATGGGCCCTTAGGGATTTTCTAAAATTGTTAAATGGGCATGTAGCCCAACTAATATTCAGCAGAAAAGTTACACATGCACATCAACCATTAGATAGTTGGCCGGGACAATTTCTGAAGTTGCACATCCACTGCTTGACAGTTGACCGAGGTAGCAAATAGTAAAAACTGCACTTCCATGTAGAGGAGAAAAGTTGCACATGATATTGGGTAGTTTGAGGCGAGGTGTCATCATTGGAAACTACACATCCATGGATAGAGAAAAAGTTGCACATCGGCTATTAGGTTGTTGCACATCAACAACTAGCCAGTTGCACAAAACTGGTGGTGACGCTTGGTGTCGCGTAGCCTCGGGCTGGAGATGGCTGGCAGGGTGTTCGGGTGGCGAAGAGAAGTACGTCGTTGCATACACATTGATATTTAGTTGACTTGTAATGTTGTCTAGTTGCACATATATTGATGTTTAGTTGGCAGGAAGATTAGTTGCATATACATTGATGTTTAGTTGGCTTGTAATGTAGTCTAGTTACACACACATTGATGTTTAGTTGGCAAGAAGACTAGTTGCACACACATGTGCTCAATTGACTTGTAATTTAGTCTAATTGCACAAACATTAATGTTTAGTTGACAGGACACTAGTTGCACACACATCTGCACAATTGACGCAGCAATGAAGTTTAGTTTGCACACACATTGATATTTAGTTGGCATGACTAGTTACACACATATATGCTCAGTTGACGCGATAATGTAGTCTAGTTGCACACACATTGATGTTTAGTTGACAGGACTATTGGCACACACATATGCTCAGTTGGCGTGACAATTTGGTCTAGTTGCATACGCATTGATGTTTAGTTGACAGGACTATTGACACACACATATACTCAGTTGGCGCGACAATGTATAGTTGCACACATATTGATGTTTAGTTGGCAGAAAGACTAGTTCATCAAAACATCCCCATGAGGGATCTATTTTTAAAGAGCACGTCGCGAGGGTTTCAATGATGAAAACGAATCTGAATTTCGACATGTGGTTTAGAAAATATGTCTTTTATAATTTTGAAACCAAAAAATAATGCGCAAGAGGCGGATATGAATATACAAGCATCCAACACATAAAAAGATACCACATAAGATAGAGACTAGAAATGCAACATACAGACATCCATCACGTGAAAAGATACCACGTAGCATAAAGACTAGACATATTACTTTTCTAGACCAGACAGGCGCTTACTTTTTTTATCCGCCGCTCGCGAACGTTAACGAGCCTCTGGCCGCCAGCTAGACACGCTCTTATTTTATTCGCCCTTATTTTATTCAGAATGCTTCGAGAACCGAGGAAGGCTCGGACACGAGGACTCGCACGCCCCCGTCCTCGCCGTTGTCGGCGAGGTAGACGAGCCCTGCTCGCTGCTGCACGGCGCGCTGCATTGCTAGCGGCTTCCCCCACCCGAAATCCGCGTCGTACACCGGCATGCCCAGCCAGCTGTTAATCCTCAGCTCCGTCGCCGGCATGCTGCGCGCCGCAGGCATAGTTGGCGTCGTCTCCAGGTAGTCGATCGTGGAGCGCACCAGCTCGTCGTCCAGCCCGCGGACGGCGTCCCTGATCCGTCCGGCGACGGGGGCCAGCGGCGCCTGGTCCTCCAAGCCGTCCGCGACGACGTCCCGCACCTTACAGGCGGTGCCCACCATGATTATCCCGTTGCCGAAGTAGCGTGCCGGGAGCGGCGGCCTCAGGCAGTCAGGCTGCGCCGGAAGTTAGCCGGGAAGGTGAGCCGCGTCTCGGCGTCCGTCGGCAGCCGCCGAGCGGCGCACATGCAGCGCCACACGTGGGCGCTGAGGGCGCAGAACGTGCTCGCGCCACCGCAGGCACGCTTCAGAGCGGCGACGTGGTCTTTGGAAAGAACAAAAATCTCGTTGACGGCAGCTCCAGACGGTTCCGGCAGGGGTATGTTTGGGTCGTTTTTGAGGGGCAAGAACACGGAGAGAGCGTCGGGGTTGATGACGCGTGGCGGGGAGCGTGCGCGGAGGAGGGTGCGGTCGTGCCATGGCAGCTCCAGCGCCGCCGCGGCTGCTCCAGCACCGTCGCTGGCCCCGTCTCTGGAGAAGGCGGACCACGTCTGGATGAAGTGGACCGCGCTTAGGGCGTCGATGGCGACGTGGTGCAGCGCCGTGCCTAGGGCCACCCCACCACACTTGAAGAAGGTCACCTGGACGGCGAGCATGACGTCGTCGATGTCCCCGGGGACGAAGAGCCTCCTCAGCTCCGGCGACGGCTGGCGGGCGCTGAAGTCGTCGGCGGCGAGTTCCGAGCGAGCGACCACGAAGCGCGCACCTTGTCCAGTGCAGTCGATCTCTGGCCGGCCATCACCATCAACGCCCAGACGGCCCGCGAGGGGGTAGAAGGGGACCAGGGCCTTGGCCATCGCGGCCTTCAGCCTGGCCACGTCGAAGAAGCCGTCGCCGGAGGCGGAGTGGTAGAAGTAGACGTTCGATGTGTGGCCCCTGTTGACCATCATGAGGTCGAGCGGGGAGAGCCAGAGTCCGCGCCTGGGCATCTCCTCGCTGGGCGTCACCATGCAGCACTCCACCACCTTCACCTCCTCCAGCATGCAGGAGTCCTCCATCACCTTCACCTCTTCTACGCTCAGCCTCGTGCAAATGGGAAGTACTGGGAGTATACGTGTAATCTTGTTGCGCTCGCGATTCTTGTCCTTTTATGGACGAGGCTGCACAGTTACAGCTCACTCAATTAAGAATGTGCCGGAAAACAACTTGCCTAAAACCTAAAAAGTACACGCGCTGAACGAGCGGCCGAACGAGAGCAGCTCGATTTCGTTCCGATCGATTGCGCAGGGTGTCCAGGTGTTCATTGGTCGAGTGGTGGAGCCACGCCGCTCGGACCTGCGCGTGGACCGGTCGCCTGGTCCGATTGCGCCGCACCGCGCCGCGCGAGATAAACCTCCCGTCGGACCCACACGTCATAGAGGATTAGGCAGTTTCCAGTGTATTAGCCGTCGTGTTTAGTGGGCGGCGGTTTCGAATTTCGTGCCATAACTCCGTCCACCCCCACCTCCGGCGGCCCATTCCTCCTCTTTTCCCTTGCTTTCGCCGTTGGTTGGTGCTGCAGAGGCGGTTCCAAATCCGCCGGGTTGTGGTCGATGGCGGGGCGCGCCGCAAGGGTCGTCGTTCGCGGCGGCACAGGTACTGCTCCTACGCGCGCTCACCGTTCTTCGTCCCTACTTGTTTCTCCACTCGCCCGCCCTCCTTTTTCTAGTGAGGTCGCACGTTTTCCGGTGAGGTCGCGGTCGTTGTCAGGGAGGTCGAGGTAGAGGTCGAACTCGAGGTCGCGGTCGGGGTCAGGGAGGTCGAACTCATTTTCCGGCGAGGTTGAGGTCACCCCCGCGGACTACTCCGTTTGGGAAACCGCCGGATTGGCAGGGGTGGGCTAGGGTTGTGCTTATCCCGTCGTTTTTCCGTTGCAGTAGGGGGAGAGCTCGTGCATATACGTACGGGATGTGTGGTTCTGGGAGGAGGAGTGGTTCACGGCGATAGAGCCTCGTATGTGGATTGTAGCCTCGCGGTGGATCTGGTGTTTTTTATGTGTGTTTTCCCCGTGGTGTGCAACTAGGTTGCCCCTTGCGTGCAAATTAGGAGCAGTAGTAGACAATTTTTGAGATAATATAGCCAATCCGCCAGCCTTGTGGTGGATCTCCTGGTTCATGTGTTTCCCCCTGTTGTGTGCAACTCGGGACCATTACCTGTGCAAATTAGTATCTATGCTTACCAATTTCTCAATATTCTCTATCCAAACTGCCAACCTTTGTGACAGATCTGGTGGTTCGTGTGTTTTCTCCTTGCTGTGTGCAACTAGGAACCCGTGTTTGTGCAATTTAGCACCAATGCTTGCTAGTTTTGCAATATAGTCTACCCAATCTGCCAGCCTTGTGATGGATGTGGTGGTTCACGTGTTTTTCTCCTCATGTGTGCAAATAGGGACCATCACTTGTGCAAATTAGTATCAATGGTTGCCAATTTTCCAATATAGTCTAGTGATTTTTCTGCCAGCCTTTGTGCTGGATCTGGTCGTTCGTGTGTTTTTCCACTACTGTGTGCAACTAGGACCTCTTGATTGTGCAAATTAGTACCAATGCTTGCCAATTTTTCAATATAGTCTACCCAATCTGCCAGTTTTTGTTGTGGATGTGGTTGTGCAGGAAATATGCCCTAGAGGCAATAATAAAGTTATTATTTATTTCCTTATATCATGATAAATGTTTATTATTCATGCTAGAATTGTATTAACCGGAAACATAATACATGTGTGAATACATAGACAAAGAGAGTGTCACTAGTATGCCTCTACTTGACTAGCTCGTTAATCAAAGATGGTTATGTTTCCTAACCATGGACAAAGAGTTGTTATTTGATTAACGGGATCACATCATTAGGTGAATGATCTGATTGACATGACCCATTCCATTAGCTTAGCAGCCGATCGTTTAGTATGTTGCTATTGCTTTCTTCATGACTTATACATGTTCCTATGACTATGAGATTATGCAACTCCCGTTTGCCGGAGGAACACTTTGTGTGCTACCAAACGTCACAACGTAACTGGGTGATTATAAAGGAGCTCTACAGGTGTCTCTGATGGTGTTCGTGGAGTTGGCATAGATCAAGAATAGGATTTGTCACTCCGATTGTCGGAGAGGTATCTCTGGGCCCTCTCGGTAATGCACATCACTATAAGCCTTGCAAGCATTGCAACTAATGAGTTAGTTGTGAGATGATGTATTACGGAACGAGTAAAGAGACTTGCCGGTAACGAGATTGAACTAGGTATTGAGATACCGACGATCGAATCTCGGGCAAGTAACATACCGATGACAAAGGGAACAACGTATGTTGTTATGCGGTCTGACCGATAAAGATCTTCGTAGAATATGTAGGAGCCAATATGAGCATCCAGGTTCCGCTATTGGTTATTGACCGGAGACGTGTCTCGGTCATGTCTACATTGTTCTCGAACCCGTAGGGTCCGCACGCTTAAGGTTTCGATGATAGATATATTATGAGTTTATGAGTTTTGATGTACTGAAGTTAGTTCGGAGTCCCGGATGTGATCACGGACATAACGAGGAGTCTCGAAATGGTCGAGACATAAAGATTGATATATTGGACGGCTATATTCGGACACCGGAAGTGTTCCGGAGAAGTTTCGGATAAAACCGGAGCACCGGGGGGTTACCGGAACCCCCCGGGGGGTTAATGGGCCTCATGGGCCTAAAGTGGAGAAGAGGAGGGGCTGCTAGGGCAGGCCGCGCGCCCCCTCTCCCCCTAGTCCGAATTGGACAAGGAGGGAGGGGCGGCGCCCCCCCTTTTTCCTTCTCTCCTTCCCCCTCTCCTACTTGGACAAGGAAAGGGAGGGGAGTCCTACTCCCGATAGGAGTAGGACTCCTCCTGCGCCTCCTACTAGGGCCGGCCGCACCCCCCCCTTGGATCCTTTATATACGGAGGCAAGGGGCACCCCTAGACACATAAGTTGATCCACGTGATCATATTCTTAGCCGTGTGCGGTGCCCCCTTCCACCATAGTCCTCGATAATATTGTAGCGGTACTTAGGCGAAGCCCTGCGATGGTAGTACATCAAGATCGTCACCACGCCGTCGTGCTGACGGAACTCTTCCCCGACACTTTGCTAGATCAGAGTCCGGGGATCATCGAGCTGAACGTGTGCTAGAACTCGGAGGTGCCGTAGTTTCGGTGCTTGATCGGTCGGGCCGTGAAGACGTACGACTACATCAACCAAGTTAACGCTTCCGTTGTCGATATACAAGGGTACGTAGATCACACTCTCCCCTTCTCGTTTCTGTGCATCACCATGATCTTCCGTGTGCGTAGGAATTTTTTTGAAATTACTACGTTCCCCAACAGTGGCATCCGAGCCTAGGTTTTATATGTTGATGTTATATGCACGAGTAGAGCACAAGTGAGTTGTGGGCGATATAAGTCATACTGCTTACCAGCATGTCATACTTTGGTCGGCGGTATTGTTGGACGAAGCGGCCCGGACCGACATTACGCGTACGCTTACGCGAGACCGGTTCTCCCGACATGCTTTGCACATAGGTGGCTTGCGGGTGACAGTTTCTCCAACTTTAGTTGAACCGAGTGTGGCTACGCCCGGTCCTTGCGAAGGTTAAAACAGCACCAACTTGACAAACTATCGTTGTGGTTTTGATGCGTAGGTAAGATTGGTTCTTGCTTAAGCCCGTAGCAGCCACGTAAAACTTGCAACAACAAAATAGAGGACGTCTAACTTGTTTTTGCAGGGCATGTTGTGATGTGATATGGTTAAGACATGATGCTTAATTTTATTGTATGAGATGATCATGTTTTGTAACCGAGTTATCGGCAACTGGCAGGAGCCATATGGTTGTCGCTTTATTGTATGCAATGCAATCACGCTGTAATGCTTTATTTTATCACTAAGCGGTAGTGATAGTCGTGGAAGCATAAGATTGGCGTGACGACAACGACGCTACGATGGAGATCAAGGTGTCGCGCCGGTGACGATGGTGATCACGACGGTGCTTCGATGGAGATCACAAGCACAAGATGATGATGGCCATATCATATCACTTATATTGATTGCATGTGATGTTTATCTTTTATGCATCTTATCTTGCTTTGATTGACGGTAGCATTATAAGATGATCTCTCACTAATTATCAAGAAGTGTTCTCCCTGAGTATGCACCATTGCGAAAGTTCTTCGTGTTGAGACACCACGTGATGATCGGGTGTGATAGGCTCTACGTTCAAATACAACAGGTGCAAAATAGTTGCACACGCGGAATACTCAGGTTATACTTGACGAGCCAAGCATATACAGATATGGCCTCGGAACACGGAGACCGAAAGGTCGAGCGTAAATCATATAGTAGATATGATCAACATAGTGATGTTCACCAATGAAACTACTCCATCTCACGTGATGATCGGACATGGTTTAGTTGATTTGGATCACGTAATCACTTAGAGGATTAGAGGGATGTCTATCTAAGTGGGAGTTCTTTAAGTAAATTAATTGAACCTAAATTTATCATGAAACTTAGTACCTGATAGTATCTTGCTTGTTTATGCTTGATTGTAGATAGATGGCTCGTGCTGTTGTTCCGTTGAATTTTAATGTGTTCCTTGAGAAAGCAAAGTTGAAAGATGATGGTAGCAATTACACAGACTGGGTCCGTAACTTGAGGATTATCCTCATTGCTGCACAGAAGAATTACGTCCTGGAAGCACCGCTGGGTGCCAGGCCTGCTGCTGGAGCAACACCAGATGTTATGAACGTCTCGCAGAGCAAAGCTGATGACTACTTGATAATTCAGTGTGCCATGCTTTACGGCTTAGAATCGGGACTTCAACGACGTTTTGAACGTCATGGAGCATATGAGATGTTCCAGGAGTTGAAGTTAATATTTCAAGTAAATTCCCAGATTGAGAGATATGAAGTCTCCAATAAGTTCTATAGCTGCAAGATGGAGGAGAACAATTCTGTCAGTGAGCATATACTCAAAATGTCTGGGTATAATAATCACTTGATTCAATTGGGAGTTAATCT